GGCTAAAAAAGCTTGTGTTAAAAAAGAGCTCTTAAAATCGTGCATATCACCTATAGCAAAACCCATCTTAACTTCAGTGATAGAGCAGAGCTGGACCAGAATTAAACGAAACGGCATTATTAATACCTCTTCCACAAGTCGCCTAAAAATAGCGTCTAACATCCAGGGAAAGAAACGGCGTCATAAATGAGGAATACATGGTTGAACTTGCGCCAGAAGTGACGATTTACCACTTTTTAATTCACAAAGTACGACGAATTCTTGGTTAATTTAATGGCGTCAAGGTGAATCGACTGGTTGCCATGGCAAGAGCGGTACCTGCAACGGTTAATTGGTGCCACGGAAACCACGCCAATTTTTAAGAAATGTACAAATCTTAATTAATCAGTAGCTTGATTAGCAAAGGAACGAATTATACTCGTCTAAAAATGCGTAAAACTTGACCAACTGGTAACATTTCTTGCCAAAAAAAAAAGGATTACCTGAGATGTTTTATCAGCTCTAAGGTGCCAGCAAACTGAGAAAGAGGAAAATAGTAGGGTTAAAGAAATGAGTAACTTCCGAAAGGAACGTCTCACTGAAGAAAAAATCAGATTTGCAGACTCAGAGCAGAAAAAAACATGCTGAAGTGGCGGTATTGCCACAAAACAACTAATGAAAGATGTGCTGGATCTGAAGACCCAGCATCTTCCAAGAACAGCATGGCAAGACAAGTGGGTGGCCTCAAAAATAGTAACGACATGGAAGGGAGATATAATGGCTTTGAAAATGCCAAAAGCCACTACCCTATTAGTATTAAGGCAGACTGGGTAAATGCAAGGCAAAAACGTCACAGAAGGAAGCGTGTGTGTTTGTGTAAGGTTGTTAAAAAGGCATCAACTGTTTTAACTACTTAATCTCAAGCTCTGTGATGGCATGACACCAAAATTGCAATGGTGGAAATAAATAAAAAAGATTGAGTAAAATATGGGGACATGACCGTGAAATAATGAATAAAGACTGAGAATCTGCTACTTCACCCTATTGCAAGGAACTCAGAATAACGTAGGTAATTGGCTAATGGCACTAGAAAAAGCAATTAGTATTAACTATCTTCCAGGCATTGTTAATAGTCACCATTCGCATAACAGGGAATCGAAAACGAAAGTCTTCCCACTCCGTAAGATTTTATTGGATCGTCGTTACGCTGGCCTAGTGAGCAGTTACAAAGCAACCAACTACCGCTAGTGTAGTTGTGAAGGTTGGGAGGGCCGAGAAAAAGGCGGAAGCTACGTAGTACAATTGTATTTGTATTACTTAAGCAAACTTTTAGTACTCAACCCGGTTCGACCTTCACAATGATCGTATCTAGAGGCGTATCTCAAATGCTGTCGAAAGCAGTAATTAGGGAGTCATAGGAGTCGCAATGAGTGCCGATTTAACTGGCGGTAGGCTGAGAAAACAAAAATCCTTCTTTTTTAAATGTTTAAAACATATACACAAACTTGAATAGGCTTTCTTCTGTGGTTCTGTACATGGTACTAGGTTAAGCCTTCAAAATGGGTTTCACAGGACCAAAGAAAGTCTTCGATCCAAATCGGCAGAGGCACGATTTCCATTGTTCGGGAGGCTCGCGGTCAAAAAAATGTGGCATTCTCTTAAATCAAACTAAGCAGATAAATAGCACGGCTTCAGGAATCGCTGTCAAGAGCAAGATGATGATACTGAGCATGCTACATATTTGACGTCACGAATTCTATAAATATAAAGGTAGGAACTTCTAGAAACAGAAATTTTCGCCTATTTCAGTGCAGGTACCATGCCAAAATACTTAGCATTTTCAGCATTTCAGCCACCATTCACAAAGATTTCACTACATTCGCCTTCACCAATAACAATATGGACGAAATACATCCAGAAAACTGGAACATTTGCCAACTCCTGGATCGAGATATCCAAAGTGGACCTACCGTAGTATAAAAGAGTGCTACTTTCACACAGCTTAAGCAAAAAAAGTGCGGTCGAGCGTTCCCCTTGGTCATTGTGATTAAAATACCTTGGAAGGTTCAGAACCAGGATTAATGAAGACAACCCACAAAATACATGCGGCAATCGAGGCCAGCGAGAGTTTTCCACAAGTCGCCTAAAAATAGCGTCTAACATCCAGGGAAAGAAACGGCGTCATAAATGAGGAATACATGGTTGAACTTGCGCCAGAAGTGACGATTTACCACTTTTTAATTCACAAAGTACGACGAATTCTTGGTTAATTTAATGGCGTCAAGGTGAATCGACTGGTTGCCATGGCAAGAGCGGTACCTGCAACGGTTAATTGGTGCCACGGAAACCACGCCAATTTTTAAGAAATGTACAAATCTTAATTAATCAGTAGCTTGATTAGCAAAGGAACGAATTATACTCGTCTAAAAATGCGTAAAACTTGACCAACTGGTAACATTTCTTGCCAAAAAAAAAAGGATTACCTGAGATGTTTTATCAGCTCTAAGGTGCCAGCAAACTGAGAAAGAGGAAAATAGTAGGGTTAAAGAAATGAGTAACTTCCGAAAGGAACGTCTCACTGAAGAAAAAATCAGATTTGCAGACTCAGAGCAGAAAAAAACATGCTGAAGTGGCGGTATTGCCACAAAACAACTAATGAAAGATGTGCTGGATCTGAAGACCCAGCATCTTCCAAGAACAGCATGGCAAGACAAGTGGGTGGCCTCAAAAATAGTAACGACATGGAAGGGAGATATAATGGCTTTGAAAATGCCAAAAGCCACTACCCTATTAGTATTAAGGCAGACTGGGTAAATGCAAGGCAAAAACGTCACAGAAGGAAGCGTGTGTGTTTGTGTAAGGTTGTTAAAAAGGCATCAACTGTTTTAACTACTTAATCTCAAGCTCTGTGATGGCATGACACCAAAATTGCAATGGTGGAAATAAATAAAAAAGATTGAGTAAAATATGGGGACATGACCGTGAAATAATGAATAAAGACTGAGAATCTGCTACTTCACCCTATTGCAAGGAACTCAGAATAACGTAGGTAATTGGCTAATGGCACTAGAAAAAGCAATTAGTATTAACTATCTTCCAGGCATTGTTAATAGTCACCATTCGCATAACAGGGAATCGAAAACGAAAGTCTTCCCACTCCGTAAGATTTTATTGGATCGTCGTTACGCTGGCCTAGTGAGCAGTTACAAAGCAACCAACTACCGCTAGTGTAGTTGTGAAGGTTGGGAGGGCCGAGAAAAAGGCGGAAGCTACGTAGTACAATTGTATTTGTATTACTTAAGCAAACTTTTAGTACTCAACCCGGTTCGACCTTCACAATGATCGTATCTAGAGGCGTATCTCAAATGCTGTCGAAAGCAGTAATTAGGGAGTCATAGGAGTCGCAATGAGTGCCGATTTAACTGGCGGTAGGCTGAGAAAACAAAAATCCTTCTTTTTTAAATGTTTAAAACATATACACAAACTTGAATAGGCTTTCTTCTGTGGTTCTGTACATGGTACTAGGTTAAGCCTTCAAAATGGGTTTCACAGGACCAAAGAAAGTCTTCGATCCAAATCGGCAGAGGCACGATTTCCATTGTTCGGGAGGCTCGCGGTCAAAAAAATGTGGCATTCTCTTAAATCAAACTAAGCAGATAAATAGCACGGCTTCAGGAATCGCTGTCAAGAGCAAGATGATGATACTGAGCATGCTACATATTTGACGTCACGAATTCTATAAATATAAAGGTAGGAACTTCTAGAAACAGAAATTTTCGCCTATTTCAGTGCAGGTACCATGCCAAAATACTTAGCATTTTCAGCATTTCAGCCACCATTCACAAAGATTTCACTACATTCGCCTTCACCAATAACAATATGGACGAAATACATCCAGAAAACTGGAACATTTGCCAACTCCTGGATCGAGATATCCAAAGTGGACCTACCGTAGTATAAAAGAGTGCTACTTTCACACAGCTTAAGCAAAAAAAGTGCGGTCGAGCGTTCCCCTTGGTCATTGTGATTAAAATACCTTGGAAGGTTCAGAACCAGGATTAATGAAGACAACCCACAAAATACATGCGGCAATCGAGGCCAGCGAGAGTTT